TACAAGGGCAGAATAGTAAGTCATAACATGTCAGAGAAATACAAGTGCAGAATGGTAAGTCATAACATGTCTGAGGAATATAGGAGAAGAATGGTAAGTCATAACATGACAGAGAAATACAAGGACAGAATATTAAGTCATAGCATGTCTGCAGAATACAAGGGCAGAATACTAAGTCATAACATGTCATAGAAATACAAGGGCAGAATTGTAAGTCATAACATGACAGAGAAATACAAGGACAGAATAGGAAGTCATAGGATGTCTGAAGAATACAAGGGCAGAATGATAAGTCATAACATGTCTGAGGAACACAAGGGCAGAATAGTAAGTCATAACATGTCAGAGAAATACAAGGACAGAATAGTAAGTCATAGCATGTCTGAAGAATACAAGGGCAGAATAGTAAGTCACAACATGTCAGAAATACAAGGGCAGAATAGTAATTCATAACATGTCTGAGGAATATAGGAGAAGAATGGTAAGTCATAACATGTCTGAGGAATACAAGGGCAGAATAGTAAGTCATAACATGTCAGAGAAATACAAGGGCAGAATAGTAAGTCATAACATGTCNATAACATGTCAGAGAAATACAAGGGCAGAATGGTAAGTCATACCATGTCAGAGGAATACAGGAGAAGAATGGTAAGTCATAACATGTCAGAGAAATACAAGGGCAGAATAGTAAGTTATAACATGTCTGAGGAATACAGGAGAAGAATGGTAAGTCATAACATGTCTGAGGAATACAAGGGCAGAATAGTAAGTTATAACATGTCTGAGGAATACAGGGTCTGAATGGTGAGGTAATAAAGGAGCATCTCATAACAATTATGTGTGTTTACAAACATTGACATCTGACCTCCTGTCACATTATACAGATAGCTCCTTATGACACTCCACATATTCTTTTCAATATACAGCTTATGCTGAAAATTACAATGTTGTCTGTTGCATTATTGACTTGCATATCAATATTGAAATTGAGACCAGGAAATCATTGCCTTTTCTGCCCTCCATTAACAGGGCAAATTTATCATGTCATTGAATATTACTTAATAAAATACCATATATTAAATCATCGGGTAATGGTATTTATAAAGCAAGGGTTATTTCCCTTTGAACACAATTTATTTTGAAATTGTACATCATGGTTTTCCTATTTATTTCAGCACAATCTTTGTTGTGACAATTGTCATTCACATGTTGCCATGGCATTGAACTTGATGCATTACAATGGAGGCTCCAACTACAACATGATATATCTCTGCTTTATGATGCTAATACATGGAAAATATACCAGGTAAGTTATTTGCACCGATTAATTTGTGCTAACACCCTGGCAATATCCTGCAGGTATGGGGGTGAGGTGTGTGTAAGGGGGTCTGTTTCCCTCGAGGAATATTTTCATAATATTTTTTCAGCAGCTGGCTGACATTTCTAGCTCGGTTATCGCTTAAATTTATTCCGATTCTGGGTCCTTCGCCCCAACACCTTGTGTACCTTTCAATGTAATGGTTCCCACACCTATCCCAATCAATTCCCAAAAGGCTACAACTAGGAACATCAGTAAAACAGTTAGGTCCAGCAATGTCATACGTATTTATAGTAGTTCTAGTGGCTTTGTTAAAAGGTTGCATGATGTCACCAATGTACCAGAATATACCATATTTACAATTCTGTTGTATAACATACTGTGCCAGTAATCTAAGTCTGATTACATTATGATGTCAATTTCAAACTTTGATGGAAAGTCTGATGACAAGTACCAATTGGAAATCATTCAGGAATTCTCGAGTTTCATTTTGACATTTCATAATGATAAGAAAACATTCACCTGTTAAATGTTTTGGGTATTCAATGTTCTGTCAGATGAGGAGGTCAGCATATGCACCTGACCTACCAAATATATCCTGTTCAGAATAATATCATCATGGTCATTATCACCATCAATGTCCTAGAGTTCTAATTTTGACATCACACATCTGCACCTTTGGAATTTCTTGAGACAGAATCACAGTCCTTGAGTATGTGCCACATTCTGGATGACATGGATTACTAATCTGGACGCTGTTTTGGAGTCGTCTATACCTTTGATATCACAATTATACTTTGATTAAGAAATAAAATAACAAAGCAGTGTAGTTCATCCTGTTTTCTATTTTCACTATTCTAAATGGAATTTATTTGATCAGTCGTGTGAACATCTGATAGAACCTGAGTCAAAGTTTGTCAAGGTCGTTACCATCTAACCCTAAATCTTTTGTTCAGTGTGTGTAAATGGTACCTGCTCATGTTTATATTGCTGTGTTGTTGCAGTGTCTGTGGCATCGTGAAGACCTGGCTTCCGTTCCTGATTATGGCCTCCATCATATTGACCGTAGTTCTGGTGATGCATGTTGCTTAGCAACAGAGAGACTTGAGCAAGTTGTATGGCTGTGATAATGTACTAATCCTATGTTGTAAATTTGTAAATAAAATTGATGTTAATAATATGAACTACACAGAATTAAATTATCCTCTAGAGTTATAATTTGTTTATATCCCACCCAACATGAGCTGGCAATGGATGCGGTATCTGTCTTAACGTCAATGTCAGCCTTTCTGTTTTGATGAGTTTTTAAGAACTATTAGGTATAGAATTATTATTTGGCATATAGCTTGCTGAATTGCTTCATTGACCTTGCCATATTCTAAAGGTCACAGGGATCAAGTATTTCAATATAGTGGAATAGCTATCAGGTTTGTTAAAACTTGATATACTTTCAAGGTCACATGGGTCAAATATGTCAAAAGAGAATCTCTTTGATAAGGATATCGTTAAGGGCTCTGATATATATTTTGTAGGTTACTGGAATGATTGCTATGACATTATTTCAAATTAATGTTATTTAAACCCAAATCTTGATCTATTAAACTTACTTCTGCACTGTACTTCAATTTCCATGATGTAACATACATGACCAGGTGAGAGTTAACATACAGACCCCTTCAGCCTCTTGTTTAGTCTCAAAGCAATTTATTTAAGGGTAGAGTAATCTTAGAGATTAAATGTCTGAATCAAACATCTGAGGTTAAATATCTGATATTTATATAAAAGCAATGAAAAAATAGTTGATTAAAAGTACCAGGTTAGTAATGTATACTGTCATAGGTAGGAAGATATACGATAAAATGAACCAATCATATGTCTTTTAAAGATGCCGAAATCTAATTATGAAAGATAAAATCTGGCATCATGGTGCAATACATAGCAACAGTAACCTTGGTGTTGACCTTGTGACCCTGAAACACAACTCGGGTTATTATCATACTTAATCATTTTAATGTGTTAAAATTCTCCATAAAATGGTGGGAACATAATTAATTGTTACATGGTGTTTTTTCATTCCTAAACTATTCATTGATGATGATACCATTGGCTAAGGTTTTATGATAATATCTGACTACAGGGTTCAGTGCTGCCATTGATCTATTGGCAAGTACAACATTTATTACCAAAAGTCTGATCAAGGGTATCAATGCCAGTACTTATGATATTGTTATGCTTTAGGAATAGTTTTAAGGCCTGTATGTAGTTACTGATTGGTGTGAATATACTTTATATTATCATTTTTTTATATATATTTTTTTAAACTCTTTTTGATGTTGAACACTGATGATTGATTGATGGATTGAGTGATAGGTTTTACGTCCGCTTCACTACCGAGGAGTTCGGTTATCCAGCAGACAATGTGTTGAACACTTCATGTAACTGGCTTTATACTGTAGCCCTTTGATCATAGAATTAATATAATTTGTGTATAAACAGCAGATCGTTTATAATTAATAGATGTTTGTTGCTTCTTAACTTCATGAAAGATTTAATTGCAAATTTAAAAACTGTACCTATGTATATTTGTTTCGACACAAAAAACAAGGAACATTTGGTCATTTATTGTATATTTTTCCTTTCATGAATTCAAATCCTTTCAAATTACAAATGTAGTTGTTTGAATAACAGTTAGGAAAAAATTTAATAAAAATGGAAGTTCATGAGATTTACATAAAATAATTATTGTTATTTTTTCTTATATGAATCAAACATAATAAGTTTCCATGAATAATTGGTAACGGGATCAGAGGGGAGATAACTCATCATGTCTTGCACTTTATTACATTATTTTGGTCTTCATTACAAGGTAATCAAAATGTTAGCGTTTCTATCAAAGATGTTAATATTGTGATTGTTTTCATTTCATGGTAGATGGATGTTGTATGAGTGTTTTAAAAGTTTAGAAATATGAATAAATAATGTGATCCTTGGAAATGAAAATACGAGGATTTGAAAAACAAAAATTGAATGAAATGATATAATGTAGTGTTGTATTGATGTAAACTGAAAGAGAAATTGTATAAGGCCAATGTAATTAAAACCACTTTTTTTGTGTGTTTTTTTTGTACAAAATCCCCTACCCTTGATTCGACAAAAAATATGACATTGAAAGGGATTTTTTGATTATTTTTTTTGCATCATGTTTTGTAAACTATTCATGTAGAATTTATTGAGAAAGATTTGTGAAAATGTACACATACTACTGTTGAATAAACCTGATAAATCTACACATTATATAAGTATAAATGTTGGAACTTGGGACAATATGTTAAACTTATTGAATTGATTTATGAAATGTGTATGTTCAACTTTGTGTCTGTTAAATAAGTCATTCTAACACTTGATGCAGGTGTTAAATATTGTTGTTTGTGTGTTTGTATATTTCGTATATTAGTAAAAAAAATAAAAAAGCAATTTTCAGTACAAAATTATATATCTTTATTCTTTTTAGGATGTATGTATAATAAGGATGGATGGTTTTAATCAGGTTTAGGGATACATGCTACCTTATACATGACATGATACCATCAACTTGTGTAAAACATATCACCTGTTTTAAACTTTTATTAAGGCTCCTTTCGCGTATCAAGTTTAACTGGTTTGTCTGTTAAAATGTCACATTTTCGGGTTTAAATCTTGGCAGACCTGCAAATGTTCATGCAGGCCTTTGGAGGCTTTGTCAAGGCTCGTCTGAACGCAGCACTAGATTACTAGGTTAGACATTATTTCATAAACTAACAACCGGTTTAAATGTTGGGATCGCGATAAACAAATGCGGCCAAAGTTTTTGCTAATACGTCAAAATAACCTGAATATAACGGATTATGTAATCTTGTCCATTTTGATCTGAACACAGTGCCACGAATAAAATATCTTTAACAGGTATCTTAGTTTAGAACTCTTTAGAAAGCAGGTAGATATGTGTCAGTAAGGTAGCATTTATCTGTAGACAGTCCTTTATATCAATACTCGATATGGCTCTGCCGAAAAATTCCCAAAAAATCATTGCTTTATCAATTTTTCCCTGTTATAGACATTTCCATTTCATTCAACTATGTGTTTTAGTAAAAACATAAACAATGTAACATAAAACCCTTTTTTGTCTAAGACCCAAGCTAATTCATCCCAGAATTATTTTGAAATCTCATGCATGTTATTAACTTCATCCGTATTAGATCATTACAAGCACATTCTAAATTATCAGTAAAACATTGCTGTTTAGAAAGGTAGCATTGCTAAAGCACAACGTTCAACGTTTTCACAAAGGTCTTGATGAAATATTAACTATTTAAAAAAGTTCTTTCTTAATAAAAAGATTAATAAACTTGTCTAAAAGACCTTTTCTTTATCTCCAATTCAATTATTTGATCATTTTTGTTTGGAATAACATATGATAAAATAAGCAGTGTATGCTTCCTTAAACTTATTCATGTCAAAATCCATGTTTTTATGATTTGGTTTTGCTGTGAACAATCTATGAAATAAATATTTATACTGGCGTAGGACTTTCACCAATTGTTTATTACCAGTGAAACATGCCACTTATAAAGATCACTTCGTGTTGTACAGAAAAGATTTCTTACAAGGAATGCTTTGAAACATACTTTTTGGAATAATAACCCTCTAGATTGAATTTGACCCAAAACTGAATTTTATCAAGATGGCCGATTAGTTATATGTTGTCTCTATGTTTACCTTAAAGGTCCTAAAAGTTTTTACACATGCTTATCATATCCATCCCACGTCGGGTTTTGATTCTGATCCACTTTGAGATGGATTCAAAGTTTGATAATGTTGACAGGTATGATTACATATTATGTCTGGCATTTTGATGAGACTGTGTGTTGAACTATTCCAGGTCCAGGTATCTAGGCGATACACGTTCGTTCAGGCCTAACAACTATGCTACTGTGGATAGGCGGATGGATTCTGAATTAAATCATTTCCAGGAATTGTCTGATTTTCTTGAAACTTGTATAATTTCTACCAAAGAAGAAACAGCTTTAAGTTTGATGCCCAGCAGTATTCGGATATTTTATTATGCTATTGTGATCTGATGATGGATTCCAGATCATGTCTTCAGAAATAAATATATTGCAAAAACAATTACCTAGCATACATAGTATACTTGCTACCAAAGTCTCTTTGCTCTTGCTTGATACCCAGCCTACTTTGAGAATATTAAATGTTGCTACAATTTGATCAATAACACATCAGAAAACATGGTTAATTACATTTAACCATCATTCCTTCAATCTTATGAGGGTGTCACATCCACTTTTGTGGAATTCCTCCCCCCTCCCCTTTTTGACAACCTGACAAAGGGTTGTTTGTTGTAGTTGGTAACGATTCTTCTAAATGAAAGAAAATAACAAAATTCTTCAAATATTCCAACCATATTCCTTCAGCTTATCAATGGTGTAAATGGTGTCCAAACGCACACATCCTCCATCAGGCTATTGAATTAAATTGTAACTGTATATTGATAGTTTCATCCTGAATTAGAAGTCTTAATACATAATACAATTCCATCGGATTTCCTTGTCCTAGATTAGGACACTTTTATACAATTCACTTCGGATGTAGATGTAGTTGGGGATGAACCCCTTCTGATTTCTGCTTTGTCGCACTTCTTTAATACTCTTAGTGTTGGGGATTTAGAAGGAGAGGCATACTTACTAGGTCTGAAGGGAAGCATGGTTACCGTCAAACATCGAAAAAAGGATAACGGGCGTTTTTTCTTTTCTCAGACTTGGAAGACATTTTCGAAAAATATAAAGAATACTGTAACAAATGGACTTTTTTCAGGTTGACCTTATCCTCGTTAAGTATAGTTTAGTATGGAAACTAAGTCTACCTTAGCATTAAGGCGACAAAAAAGACGGTTCATATAGTAGTAAAACGTTTTACCCTCGGTTAGTTCACGACAACAAACTCCTGCAGGTGGGAGATCGGGAAAAGAATACACCTGCTGTCACCCATTGCATGTAACGTAGGAGGCGACTAATGTGGGGAACTACCCTGCAGAATTAGGGTTATGGTTTGGTGCCCTCTATTTGGGGACACAAAAGCGACCAAAATGAATCTGCTGCGCCCATTACAATATTTGGGATATTTATCTTTCGTTCTACTTCTAGCTACCCTTTATTTCCTAGCGCCTTGCTTGGCAACACCTCAATTTTGGCTTGAATATTGAACGTTTGCCTATGTGAGGAAGGCAATGGGCTCTGTCCCCAGGCCGGGACATACCAAAGTCCCTAAAAATGGTAGTTGTTATTCCCTGCTTGACGTTCAGCATAAAGGGGAATGGCAACAATTGGTCCACCCGTTGTCAGTATAATGTGACCGGGAGGAATGCTGTGCTTGGCGCCTTCGGCATGGCATTTCAGTGAGATTGCACTATAAAATCGGCAACAGATCCGCGCTATCACAAGGAGGTAAGCACCCTAACATACCCCGTCGCCTGCATATACACAGACAAGCACGTATACACTACACGCATAGAGGCACGTCCTTATGACCTTAGCTGTTGATAGGACGAGAAACAAAATTAAACCAAACCGAACCATCATGAGAACAGGAACCTTGAACTTCAGTAACATTTCTGCGTTAAACTTTTTTTTATATTTACCATCTCATGGCATTTCCACTCCATACCAAATTCAGTTGGCATTCATGTAGGCTTTGAATGCCAACTGAAAGCAGCTCAATGCTTAAATATGATAGCTTTACGGAGCATGACTACTCACGAACCTTGTCCAGTAAATGCGAGTCATTGGTTATATAGGTCCGTTTTCTTTGCAACCCTTGGTTACAGCGAGTTTGTCTTGATGCATGGAAGCTCATACGAGATTTGTGTTCCTGGTATCTGAGGTCATTACTATACGTCTGTACCTTTACGTCGGTAGAACAGGATGCCTTTAGCAAACACTAGGCCTGGTATATTTTCAAGGGTCTCCGTATATATTTTCATTGTTTATTTCCCCCCTTTATTTTTACCGATTTCGAGTTAGAATTATGGCTTTGTTTACACTTGGTATCATCTTATATTGGTGTGCCGTTAAGACTACTATGTGACCCTATAATGTGTTATGTTTTGACAGAGCGTTAGTTACAGTTGTCTTGTGGTCAAGTATGATTCTATTGTTGGTTTAGTTTTGATTGTGATTGGTGTCCTAATAACAGCTACATCGTAGGGTCATATTATATAGGGCGTGCAGCCTACGTGTGTGTAATATTTGCGTGTGTGCTATCATTTCTCAATCTTCGCTAGCCAAGGGTTACGATCCGGTACCATCTACCTACTCTTTTTGAGAGTTAGGAAGACTGAATCGTAACCCTTCGTTAGTGAAGATACCATTTCTCTAGCATCCTCTTTTTTTGATAGAATTTGGAGAAACATAACAGGGGCATACCATGAACAACATATGTCATTCCTACGTAAAGTATAAATTCACTACCACTCCCTTGTCATTACTCTAGCGGTGTATTTCTTGACACATTTAATCAAAATTCACGAGTATGTCGATCTTTGACAAAATTCCCATATACTAGCCTGATTGTTAAAAGATTCTAATCACTGTTACTAAAAATGGAAATTCACCTTCACACCCATTGTCATCACTCTGGCGGCCATGATTGTTATGTCAATGTAGTACAAATTAGATTATGATCATGATTATATATTTTCATTGTCAATTGTGTTAAGATGTCACGGTCATTGATCCAGCAGGGATATGGCATGTTATGAGCCATGTTAACTTTCTCTACTTGCAAGTAGAAATACGCATCATGATAATGAATATTACCATTTAAATCAAACATTGTTTTTCTCAGAATAGAAAAGAACTGTTAGGGAAAATGGAAAAAACGAAAAATACAGAATGTTATGTATAGTGCATTTAGTAACTATACTATTTTGGTAAATATAAACAGAGATGTCGGTAATGCTAATACGTATTAATATAGTTCTAAGGAAACACTCCAACCATTCTAAAACAAACGTTATTTTAAAAATGGTTCATAGAAATGCAAAAATCTTTTAACTATTTACGGATTTACTTGAGAATTGACTGTTTTGAATTATAATGTAAAGTGTAGTCATTGTTTTTGATTGTTTTTATGTGAATGTAAAGGTGTATATGTGGATATTCTGTAAAGGAAATGATGTTTAGAATTTGTGCCGGACTATTGTCATTGTATTGTGCTACTGAAAGATATATCACTATGTTGATGTTTTAAGATTTAAAACCACCATTTCCACATACATTATAAAAGCATCGATAATAGTCTACCTCCTTTTCTTGTGACTTGCTCTAAAGGCGTGAAAATTGTCGTCAAATTCCATTAAATTGCACTATTTCGCCACCCGTCTTTACAAACAATATTACACAAGTACTACTG